CCATAATGCATCATCTGTAGTTTGGTGAAACGATAGCCTGCCTGTGACTAGTTTATGCTTTAAGAATTAGCATTGCAAATGCATGTAACAACCAGAAACATTTTGTTTTATTGTTAAAACTGGTAAAATATTTTAGTTCAGATTTAACTTTTTTCTCGCATGTTCACAGGGACCACCCGGACCTCAAGGACCCACTGGATTTCCTGGACCAAAGGGCCCCCCTGTAAGTAGACCATTTTCTTCATTCACATTGACTGTGAACTTTCATAATGTATATTGAAAGCAGAATGCCCAACATAGCTAAAGTAATGTGTTACCTAAATATATGTTACTCCGATAACATTGTGCTCTGCAGCAAAATCCTGGCCTATTGATAGGAGCCCCTGAACCTTCAAATTACTCCCTTATAGGCCAAACAATACACAAGAGTTTAACATCTTATTAACAGGAACACTGAAGGGCATGTCTTGCTGAGATTATACTAGTGCAGCTATGGAAAAAATGCTAATGTCCACTTGTTTTTTATGAGTTTATGACCCTCTTTCCAGCAACCTGTATTTCAAATACCAATAAGTAAATCTGAAGTAAATTTGAAGTTCCCTATGCATAAGGCAGAGGCCACTTTGCTTTAATTGCCAGAAATGCTCAGAAAATGTGACTAATGGTTCACCCAAACAACACCAGATTAACAGCTGATCAATACCTGATCAACATCACTTCTCTCTATCTGAATCCACTCTTATATTTATAGACATCATCTTTCTTTGGCTCTGCAGACATGACACTAAATTAATATGTGATAATGGAAACGGATAATAATAATAATTCTTCTCTTTAGGGTCCACCAGGGAAAGACGGACTTCCTGGCCATCCTGGACAGAGAGGTGAAACTGTGAGTACATGGTGATGGGGGAGCGCATCCTTATGTCTGACATCAGCTGGATGTGTGATTACTCTAGACCATTCCCTGTAGACGAGGAGATGTCACCATGTTTTACCTTTCGGTTGGTGTCTGTTCGGCTACATGGAGGGGTCTAAAACAATCCCCCTGCTTAGTCTGGCTGGGTCAGAATAATGATGCTTCATGAGGGTTATATCCAGATGCAATCAGCTAGTTATCAGTGTATCTGGTGCAAGAATATCTATATATCCATTAACCGAAGATGTCCCACCTTCTGCTAGTGAATATAGTGAAAACGTGCTTTTATCTTGACAACATGGATCTTCTTTATCACAGTATTGGCAGCAAGACCTGTCTGTGTTGACCTGCAGCACTAATCAGGTTCAAACTGTTGTCCAGCAGGTTTGTACATTGCTGTAGGCAAGGTAGACAGTTCCAGTGTCAGATACGGTGGTAAATGTGGCACAATATGTTTGCACTAGTGGGCACATATTATTTATTTATTTCAGGTACTTATATAGCGCCGTCAATTTACGCAGCGCTTTACATATATATTGTACATTCACATCAGTCCCTAACCCTCAAGGGGCGTACAATCTAAGGTCCCTAACTCACATTCATATACAAGGGCCAATTTAGACAGGATCCAATTAACCTACCAGCATGTCTTTGGAGTGGGTGCAAAGAGGGGGATGTGTAACCTCACAGGTACCACAGTGTATTTTAATTTGCTAGCACCAGCACAAATGTCATGTTAATTTAATCTATAATTTAATATTTTGATGTGGATGGATTTTCCAGCATTAGAAGTAGCATCACATGGCTTGTCTGAGTGAATGCGGCTGTTGGGATTTTGATGTCCTTTGACTCATCAGATGCCTGGCTTCTGCAAACTTTCTGTTCTCGCAAATTAGAGTTTCCAAGTGTTGTTTTTGCTGCTTAAAATGAACCTGCCACAAAAGATTACAGCTGGCCAACTGATGAAAAATTTACATAGGCAGATATTTTCTTCAGCGGAAATTGATTCTCAAAGTATCAGTAGATCCAGAGATCTAGATCAGCAATAGTCAAGGTTTGGACTGATTCTGCTGCCTTTTCAACCTCTTGTTGGTCCATTAATGTTTAGGTGGCCTCAGTGACCATTCACAGACTCCAGGAAGTTCAGGAGGGGTGGGACATGCTATGTATGTATGTTTTATTAAATGTTCAGGTCCTGCTCTAGAAGACTTCTAACTTTCATAAGGGTACTGGTCAGTGGTTTAAAAATCTCACCCCATTTACTGCCAAAGGATATACAAAGACTGTGCAGTCTAAACTTTGTGAAATCAGCGGTGCTGAGACAGGCTTGTTGGTAAGAAGGCTACTGCCACAGACACCTATCCATTTATATTAATATCTATGGGGGATCTTCTGTACCCATCAGCCTGCTGCAACTTTTCTCATTTCATATAAGGACTCAGACAGACTTCAGCTCTCCTGTAGAAGTTATTGAACTTAGCACTGTAAATAACTAAACAGGAGGCTTCCTACTGGAGAGCAATTTCAACTGGAAACTTCACTACACAATATGCTGTACAAAGTAAGTTTTTAAACACATTCATGGTCGTGGTACACCACCATATTACAGTTCACACATCATGCTTGTAATGCACAATGTGTTCACACTGCTGTCAGTGGAAAATCTTTGAGGGTTTATTTAGTAACATGCTACTCCAGAATTTTAAGCACTGGTCGATTGAGCAAGAGATCTTTTATTGGCATCTTTGGCTGGATGGCTGAGGCTGTACCACGTCCATTCTGTGTGGCTTTGTCTTGTGTTTGTGCTCATATGCAGTCCTATATGTCGGCGTAGAATGAGGTATGCCCATTTGTGTTTGTCAGAATTGTTACCTTTCTCAGTTCTTATCATTGTCTTGGCAAAAATATATTTTCTTTAAAAACATATTTTTCTGATTAAACTGAGCAGCCAAGACAACACTATTGATCACAGGACAGTTATGCTGTAAAATTTGATTAGGAAGGAATAAAATGGGAATGTAATTCTAACTTTTTGGATCTATCAAACTACTATTCAAGTTCAAAGATGATTTAAGAAATCAATTCAATCATCAATGTATGTTACTACTCCTGAAAGTAGCAGTTTCATCATTACCCACAAATTACTCAGTTCTCATATTACTTGGATGAGTTCTAAAGATAACACTCACTGAGCATTACTGTTAATAAACCCAGCAAGTTTCTTCCTGGTTTCTCATCTCTTTTGGGAACTCCGGTCCAACTTTGTGGTTGAGAGGTGGAGATGGCCCTGGGCAGGGGACTCTGTTTGTGTTGTCTGGATGAATAAAGTTACCAGCATTTGAATTTTTTGTGCACCAGGTCTTTTCCTTTGGGCTTGTGGAGCATGGGGCTACCCCTGCTGGCATTCAAAACCCGATCTTCCATGAGGGTAACTCGATTTAGGACTTGGGAGCAACGTACCCCATACTTTAATATGTACAGTAGGCTGACCAACTGACCTGCACCTGATGTTATAGACGTTTTCATGAGAGCATACTGTATGTACATATTTTTCTGTATCAGATTAAAACAGCTGTGCTGGCAGCTCAGTCATTCATTCTACTACCATAAAGTGTTTGTGGTAAGTATGCCTCTGACTCAGGTGTACAGGATTTCAGTTGGTGTTGCTGCTAACTTGGGGTGAGAAATCGCTGTTGTTACACTGCATATCAGGTAAAACATAGTAGGGAAATTCTTCTAATAAGCATGGAGCAGCATGTCTCTGTTTCTCTTCCTGTTTTTCTTTCTTGACATCTGTGTGTCTGCTCTACCTCCACTTTATACATCAGACTTTAGTGTCTTTTTAGGGCTTCATCGACCTGGTGAGTTAAACCAATGTCCTCTTTGTTTCTCTGCCCGGACTCACCTTTTTTCTTCCTATCACCAGGGCTTCCAAGGAAAAACTGGCCCCCCAGGTCCCCCTGGAGTTGTCGGCCCGCAGGTAAGTGATCTCTTTGTAAATCTCTAATTAGCCAAGGGGAGCTGGCAACTCTTTGATAGTGGAAGGATAAAACATTACTGTAATTTCACAGAACTTTGTTCAGAGGGGACAGCATCTGATCAGCAGCCAGCTCCTTGGTCTTTTCATGTTAAGACTCCCATCTGATGTAACACTGCAGTGTGGGTATTTAATTGTTCCCAGGCTCTCTCTGTAATATTAATGAGTATATAACAAAGAATAGATTCATTCTAATAGGATAGAATCTTATCATATGACCTGATCTGCTACCTGAAAAGCTGGCTCTGTCAGTAAATTTAGCATTTTTTGGAAAAATACAGATGTATTCCAGTTTTTTCAATAGGAATTGTAATCATAAATGTAATTTTGTAGGTTAAAGTGAGTAATTGTTCCTTAATATTTCAGTTCTGAGAGGTCATTTTCAAATACTTCCAAATTTGTATATGTCACAATCTTCAGTGGTAAAATTTCCCTGCAGTGGCTTGTGTCTCCACTATTTTACAGTGATATAAAAGAGAGAGAGAGAGTTTGCATCTCAATGCAGAGACTTTTTAGTGGTAGTTTGTGTCTCTGCCACCACCCCCCCCCCCCCCCCCCCCCCTCACCCACAATGCTGAGATTTCCTTGCAGTAATTTGTGTTTATATCCATCAGGAAAGTTTTTTGTAAAGTCTTACTGGGGAGATCTCATTACTGGAAATACTGAAAGACTTGACTTGTCAGCAACTATGCAGAATGGAAATATCCATTTTTGATTGTAGAATATAAGAATGTAGAGAAATTTAGATAAAATATGACAATTTCAAGCATAGTTTAGACTACCCTTCCTCAGCAAGGGTTCTGTGGATCCCTAGAACTCCTCTAGAGGAGCTGTGACTGATTGACCACCCATTTAATGGTGCCTGCACCATGCGACTTTGTAGTGCCAGATCCTTTTAGCTTTCTTTGAGAGAGGTATTCTCCGACCATTTCCCTTTGTGAATGTTTCTAGCTTATTGGGTGTGTGATTCTTATCTTTCTGTAAAACATACTCCTTTTTTCCTTTTGTGGATTTTTCAAGGGTCCAACTGGAGAGACTGGTCCCATGGGCGAAAGAGGTCATCCTGGGCCTCCTGGACCTCCTGGTGAGCAAGGTTTACCTGGTCTGGCAGGCAAGGAAGGATCTAAGGTGAGTTTTAGATTCTTAAGCAGAAACTTAGCTCAGTGAAAAGGCAGAATTCAATTTTAAAATAAGCAGCTTTTGAAATCACTAATTATAACCAATCCTCACCTCCTCTCGTTGTATAAGGCTGAGCACACCTGCTCAGCTGAGGAAGATGAGTGACCAGCCATAAGTCTTAGTTTGTGGACTGTTTATGCTTCCTACAGTCAATGCATATTTGGAAGAATTAAAAAAAACAAAATAGTTTTTTTTTTGACAGGGTATTTTCTGAAATTGCTTGGGGTTATGGTTCGAGATCAGTTCAATATTGAATTGTTTTACTAACCACTACATTTTTCACACAATAAAATATGCATTATTTATTAAAAGAATATTTAAAACCCCCAAAATGACTCCCCTCCCTAAAATGAAATACACAAACACAAAACCCAACTTTTGTGTTGTCTTGAGTAAATAGATACTAAACACGGAATACATTAAACCTGTGTGCGCCTGCGTGAGTGCACTTAACTACAGTACTCTATGGTGTCCATTGGCAATGCTTTAAAAGCCTTTACAGGTTATCAATTTAGACTAACCATTAATTATGACCCTATAATTATTGCTCTCACTGACCTTTGCGGTGATTCCTCACATGTCTGCTGCAATTGCTGTCTACATACATGTGTGCAACCTAAGTGAGCATTTTTGCATTTTTGTGTGGGGCGGCAGGGTTGCTTTAAAAAAATTTTCTATATTATTTTTATTATAATTACATTTTTAACACTTTTTTTTATTATTACAGGAAGGTGTCAGTCTCTCTTTAAGGGGGCATCAGGGGTCTTTTAGACCCCTAATTTCATCTCTGCCCTTCACTGCAGCTAATCAACTACAACCTGCTTGATTAGCTGCTTCCCCAGACCCAGTAGCCAAGGAATGACAGCTCTATACCTGGAAATGACTAAATGATCATCGCTTCTGGGTTCATTAGATGCAAATGGATGTTCCTTGAGCCCCTCCCACTTGCCATTCTGATATAATTTACCACAGTTGCTGCTCAGATCATTTGCCATGAACTTGTTTTGACCACTTGAATTCCAGGCTATTTATACATGGCCTATAGATGTCAAGTGGTTAATAAAGTAAATGTTATTTTTAATTTTCAATCACCATTCACTGAAGTGGGGAGACAAGGAGACAATAATTCTGTATATATATGCTATTATTAAATACATATATTCAGGTTCTATCCCACAAATGTTTGTCACTTTGGTGTAGCACAGAAAATATTCACTATGGTATGTATATGACTTCTGCCCCAATATGTATTTTAAATAAACCTTAAAAAGAGAAGACACCCCTTTAAGGCTATATTTGTTTCCACCTCATTAGCTAACCTGATGCTTTTTCATTTTTAGGGAGATCCTGGCCCTGCTGGTGTGCCTGGTAAAGATGGACCACCAGGTTTAAGAGGATTCACTGGAGAACGCGGTCTCCCAGGTCCAGTTGTGAGTATACTGGCAGGCTGACAGAAACAGAGTTGTATAGCTGTCCTTAGCTAATTTAGGTTACAAATTGGAGGTGTTTCAAGAGAATGGAAAGCCGACTATCTTCTGGTCCAATTATAGATTCTAGGAGTAGAAACGCATTTTCAAGAGCCTCTAAGCAGAAGCCTGTTATGCCTGAAAAGTTAATTTCATTGTAACTGTAAAGCTAATAGTTTCCTTTTTTATAGGGTAGTCCTGGACTAAAAGGCAATGAAGGCCCCCCGGGACCTCCTGGCCCTGCTGTAAGTATTGATTATTCACATATATAGACACTTTATTGGCAATGATTCTCTTACTTGTTTTCCTCTTGGACAAAATACACAGTTCTTCATAAGTAGGAATAATTGTTATTCCTAACATTTGCCACATAAAGCAGTAAGGCGTGTGAAATGTGTTGCATAGACAATTATTGGCCTGTATGCCGTATAATTTGATGCAATCGGGGGAAAGCACATTATAACATTATCAGTAATCTTTCCAGCATCTCAGAATTTAACGATGTGTAAAAACAAAATACGTACTCTAACTGGTTTGCATTTAAGATAAAGGAATTCACAGGTAAAAAGTGGGAATTTCTGAAGAGAGGTCTGTAGGGTGGGAGCTTTATAATATACTGAAAAATGTATTCTGGGAAACATGCTCTTTTTTTTTTTTTGCAAGCTTGGGGAAATCCAGTGGCTAGTTTGTATTTTACACTCTCTTTGACAGTCAAATTGAAAATTGTCAGGACTTACACCAAAACTGTTAATTTATTTGCAGCCAAATTTCTTATTCTTCCATTATGTTCTATACCTGAAAAATGTAAAGGCCCAATGAAGGTCCATTTTTATGTATATACTAACCCCTTAGTGACAGAGGGTACAACAGCTGTTAATGCCTGAACACAATTTTGCAACTCTGACATGTGTTAGTGAAACTGTACTTATCATCACAACTACTTTGTGTGTCCAGGTGGATTATACCTTGTTTTTTTCAGGACAAGTTGTGCTTTCTTTTGGTGGTAAAAGGTAACGGATATCTCCTGATATTTTTTATTATCAAAGGAAAACTGGCCCAAAATAGTAAACAAAAATCTTTTTTCTTTAAGTTTAACTGTATATTTATTGCTATTATCATAACTTGCCACCAAAAAAACAACCCAAAATAAATAATGTTTCTCCTGATAATCGCAGCAGTGCCATGTATGTATATGCTAGTTCTTGTTTGTATCCATAGTAGGTTCCAGAAACAATAGTGTTTTTTTTTTATCTAAAACACACTGACACTAAGTACACTGATGCTAATTTAAAAGTGCTTTTTAAAAAAAAATCCTACTCAAAATATACGGACCCTGACCATTGACCCTTACCTTGACCCTAACACTAACCCTGACAAGGACCTAGATCAAATCTTTATCTAGCAATTTATTTCCCTTTTTATTTATTTATTTTTTGCACACTCTGCATATTTAACCCCTGTAAGGAGAGGAAGATACAATGTATCTGCTTTTGCTGCTCAAGGTAAAGAAAAACACATGAGCTGGCTGCACAGTGACTGATCACTGTGATAGCCAATCAGAGGCCATCACAGCGATCAGGTGGCCGGGAACCAGGAGTCCCGGGTCTTGATCATTTGTAGGAGACCTTGGACTCTCACAGTCTCGTCTCTGTGCTGGGACTGAGCTATGTGGCATGCTTCCAGCACAAAGACAGGTACACATGTATGCAGCCTCATGCACTTCCATGAGGCGGCATATAGGAGTATTGCTGGCAGGAAGGGGTTAAGGCAGAACAGCCAAAAGTAACAAGATAAAAATGATTATTCCACAGAAAATAAAAATGCAATGTTTAACCTTGATTCTAGAGATTTCAACTACAGTACTTTTTTATCTGCTATTGGATGCACTCAGTTTCATGGCCAGCATCATTCAACCCACTTCCTCTGAGTCCAGGATGTCCTGGACCCATCCCAGCCTGTGACTGGACAGTGAAAGGAGAAGCAGCACACTGATCAGCTCATCTCTCTGTCACAGTTTGCTTTTCCTGTTAGTAGGACACTTTTTCCTAATGTTCTTAGGCGATGGACTTCTTCTCTCTACTGAAAGAAGCTTACCTCTTTCTTTTGGGTTTTTTTTCTTTCTCTGGGGCCATCCTGTAATATTGCTGGATTACACTAGATCCTGCTTTAGGTGCTCCCTGGGCTCATAGTGCAATGTGTGGAGTAAGCTGCAGGGTTCTCTACAGGTGCAAGGATGTGGTCTGCTAGCGGCAGAGCCTTGTCCATGAAGACCTATGTGGGGGTATGCCTTTCGTGGAGGGGGAAGCTAGGATGGAACCTATGCCCCTATAATCCTACCTACTGAGCTTCAGTGGTGAGTACAAGATGGAAGACCTTTAAACATTCATACCCCTGTACCAACAGAAAAATGCCTTCAAGACTTCTAATAAAACCTTTTTTCTGGTTCCCAAATCAAATGGGGGTCCGTATTGGATCTGAAGTGTCTCAACTACTTCCTACATGGAATCTACCAAGTTGGTCATTGCCTCTCTCTCTCCAGCAGATTTTCTGGCTTCAGTTCAGGATACTTACTTGCATATTCTCATATTTCCTTCTCATCAACGCTATGTTACGGGTTACTTGGACAATCTCCTTTTAAAGGATCAGTTCACCCTATCCCTGTCAGCCAAAATACAGCTGACAGTGCTGACTGTGCAGCCCTTTGAATGGATCATCAATATGAGGAAGTCATTGCTGGACCCATCTCACAGATTGGAGTACCTGGGCCTGATGCTAGACATGGACCTGAGCAGACTCGTCTAACCGCAGGACAAACTTCTTTCCCCTCCGCTCTATTAGGGGGTTGCAGCCATGCACTGTGTGCAGCAATTTGTTGGGCTGGGCAACAGACAGCGTAATCTGTGCCTGCAATGCCGCTTAAACCCTGCACACTGTGCTCTACTTTTGGCACCCGGTTGGCTGTAGTGGGAGAAGTCTGGCCTGCCTGGACGCTCAGCTGTGAAATCACTGAAGTCTGGATCAAATCAGCATTGGTCTGGTACCCGCAGCTTCCTCAGCCTCTCCACAGACTGCTCACTACCCATCTGCTGGTATACCAGTAAGTAAGTAAGTCAGTCAGTGGGTGGGCAATCACTGACTCAGTCAATTTAGGCAAATCACATAAGCAGGCAACAATAGATCCCAGCACCATATTGTGGTAAATAATGCATTGAGAACTCACAGCTTTTTTTTTTGTTCAAATACACATTCAGATCACAAAATAAAAAAAAAAAACAAACAAAAAACTACCTGCCACAATATGGTGCACATTAGGGAGAGTAAAACTAGGTCATTCAATGGTGGAGAAGGATCTGGATATCCTGGTAGACCACAGACCTAATACCAGCACTCGATACCAATCTGCAGTTTCTACAATGTTCAAGGTACTGTCTTATATTAAAAAAGACCAAAACCTTAGAGAGAGACACATAGGAGGGAAGGAGATAGAATGTAACACACAGTAAACAGTATGTAGATTACAAAAGACAAAGCAGAGCTTGGTACACTAGATTTTTGTATGCATCTGATGTAGAGTGATTAATTACCCTTAGATTACCCCATTAAACACTGCACATTCCTCATATCAGTCTGGAATATCATATATATATATATATATATATATATATATATATATATATATAATTTATTTTTTGGTAAACATTTCTCATATACACTGAGATGAATCTATCTGCCATGCGTTCAGATGTTGAGCACTCCACCAGTGATCAGACACATGCTATCGCTGATATGAACTGTGTTTGTGTTCTAGGGATCTCCAGGGGAAAGAGGAGCTGCAGGACCTGCCGGTCCAATTGGTTTGCCAGGAAGACCCGGCCCACAAGGACCACCTGGACCAGCTGGTGAAAAGGGGGCTCCAGTAAGTAAATCTATTGTTTGTTTATTTATATCACTATAGACCTCAAGAGGAAATCTCCATGCAGGCAACCTGGTGGTATCACCAAACATGCTATGGAATGACTGATATATATATACATTTTTGAAGTACTGCCACTAGCTGTAACTGAGTCCCCCCTCATATGATTTACATTTCCTCTTTATGCTGCATTTGTAGGCAGACAGCTCAAATACAATGGTTTCCCTTCTGCCTCTCTAGTCATATCTGTAGTATAGTGTAATTTTTTTCTCCTTGGTGTTGGTCAGCTTCAACGTTACAGATGACAATAAACAATTGTTTCGTTTGTAAGGACATCTATTGTGAGATGTATAGGTGTGGAATGTAGCAGTGAAGTTGGTTCACTTAGTGATGCATTTTGGAAGGGTGACCTTCCCTGCAATCTTCAGTGCAAACTGGAGCTCATATCAAGGAAAGGTAGGATTTCACATGGCTTAGAATGAAGGGGCTTTGACCACCATCTTTGAAACCCACATTTAAGTCCATCATGCAATATTCACCTTGGAGTAATCTTATCAGATTGCAAGTTTCTAAGTCATTTAGTGAGATCAGAGTAACAAAGCTGGGTTTATTGGTAAATCCCTGTAATCTGTTTAAAGAGCTCGAGCTCTGGAGATATTACTTCAATGTGAATGGAAAAAAAGTTAACATTTAAATTTGTTCTTTTTTAACCTTTACTATCATACTGTATAGCTAGAAGTTGACATAACTGTTCAAAAACTGCAGCACCTAACATTGCATGTCACTTCCATGTCAGCAGCCTGTTCACTGAACAAAGAATGAGTATTACCCCTACTGGTGAGGTCCTCCCTTTGCCCTTCAACTCCTGTAAGCCTCCATAAAATTTCCCTTTCAGCTCCAGGTGTCTGAAACATATTAGGATGGTAACAATATACTGTGCAACAGTGCCAGTCTGGGTACAGTGCTGGCGCTACTACACATAAGGAGCACAGTTGATGGCGGGGAGGTTTTTATAAAGAAAATATTCCAGGTATCTCTGCTAAAAGAATGTATAAGTGAATGTAATAATTTTCCAGTTAATAGATAACATGGCTGAATGCTGGGGTTTGTGTGGAGTATTGCTCTAAAGAGCTGACAATGAGAAATAAAATATAATGTGGATAATCATAACAATTCTGTTTGATCTGTTTCTAAAGTGTCACTGCCAGCTGGCTATGCTCACATCTTTTCTGCTAACAGATTAACAATACAGATCTTCTTTTCATCAGTCTCCATGGTGTTATCTGACATTGGTCAGGTTGGTGGAGGGGATGGCAGTGTGAAGATAAAACAAGCCTCATTTATGGGTCCACACTAGAGATGAGCGAATCGAACTTGGCGAAGTGGAATTTTCGTTTCGAAAATATTAGGATCGAAATTTTTCCAAAAATGGCGGCGACATGTGCGGCGACGGAGCGGGGATCTTGGGAAGGCGCGCAGACAAGGCGCGCTGACCCATAATGCATTCATTCATGACATGTGATCGCATTAGCCAATCAGCAGCGAGACAGCAGCACTGTGTAATGGTCGAGCTATAAATTTGCGGCCATTTTAGAATTCTCCATTTGCCTCCAGTCATCAAGAGAGGCAGACCTGGCTGTATTGAGGGAGGAGAAGTACTTAGGGACACAGAAGAAACGTTACTTAGGGCCACAGAAACGTTACTTAGGGCCACAGAAACGTTACTTTAGGGCCACAGAAACGTTACTTAGGGCCACAGAAACGTTACTTAGGGCCACAGACTCGTTACAGAAAGAAAAGTTATTAGGGCCACAGAACGTGTTTAGGGCCACAGTTACTTAGGGCCACAGAACGTTAAGTTAGGGCCACAGAAATCGTTACTTAGGGCCACAGAATCGTTACTTAGGGCCACAGAAACGTTACTTAGGGCACAGAACGTTACTTAGGGGCCACAGAATCGTTACTTAGGGCACAGAATTGTTTAAGGGAAACGTTACTTAGGGACACAGAAAACTTGTTACTCGAGGGACAGAATGGTTAGGGACAGAATTGTTACTGAGGGACAGAAGGAATTGTTACTTAGGGACAGACAGAATTTTACTCAGGGACACAGAATTGTTACTTCAGGGACAGACACAGAATTGTTACTGAGGGACACAAATTTACTTGAGGGACACAGAATTACGTTCTTAGGGACAACACAGAATTGTTACTCAGGGACAGACACGAATTGTTACTCAGGGACGACACAGAATTGTTACTCAGGGACAGAATTGTTACTCAGGGACAGACACAGAATTGTTACTGAGGGACACAGAATTGTTATGAGGGACACAGAATTGTTATGAGGGACACAGAATTGTTACTCAGGGACAGACACAGAATTGTTACTCGGGACAGACACAGAATTGTTACTCAGGGACACAGAATTGTTACTGGGGACAGGACACAGAATTGTTACTGAGGGACACAGAGACACAGAATTGTTACTGCGGGACACAGAATTGTTACTGAGGGACATGACACAGAATTGTTACTGAGGGACAAGAATTGACAAGAATTGTTATCAGGGACAGACACAGAATTGTTACTCAGGGGACATGGGGGACACAGAATTGTTATACTGAGGGAACAGAATTGGTTACTGAGGGACACAGAATTGTTACTCAGGGACAGACACAGAATTGTTATGAGGGACAGACAGAATTGTACTGAGGGACACAGAATTGTTACTGAGGGACACAGAATTGTTACTCAGGGACACAGAATTGTTACTGGAGGGACAGACCACAGAATTGTTTCTCAGGGACACAGAATTGTTACTGAGGGACACAGAATTGTTACTCAGGGGGGACACAGAATTGTTACTGAGGGACACAAAGAATTGTTACTGGAGGGACACAGAATTGTTACTGAGGGACACAGAATTGTTACTGGGATCACAGAATTGTTACTCAGGGGACAGACACAGAATTGTTACTCAGGGACACAGGAATTGTTACTGAGGACACAGAATTGTCAGGGAACTAGAACTGTTAGGGACACAGAATTGTTATCAGGGAACAGAATTGTTACTAGGGGACAGACCAGAATTGTTATCAGGCGACCACAGAATTGTTACTGGGGACACAGAAATTGTTACTCAGGGAAACACAGAATTGTTACTGAGGGACACAGAATTGTTACTGAGGGACACAGAATTGTATACTGAGGGAACGACAGAATTGTTACTCAGGGACAGACACAGAAGTTGTTTACTCAGGGACAGCACAGCAGCTGTTTCTCAGCGGGACACAGAAATCGTTGAATTTAAAGCTATGTCAGACCAACATAGAGGAGTGGCAGAGGAGGCAATGTTTTAGGACTTGCGAAGCAGATTCGTTTCAGGCAGCAGAGGATAGGGGTTCGAGGCTAGTAGCTCTAGTCGCAGCAGGGCCAGTTCTCCCAGTGTTCATCCAGCGGTTAGTGACTCATCCACCGACTAACCCTTCCTATCATCGATTGGGTTGGGCTCGGCCCGTTTTTCCCGGGCCCCTGACACCTAAGCCAACTCGGTGGGTACGTAAACACAAGGTTTTTTTATTGGTTTTGGCCCCCCCGGGAGAGCCCATGAAATGTGTCCTTACCTCCCCTTGCCCTTTGGTGTTCCCCCCGGAATTAAAGGGATGGTGGCCCCTAAAACCCCATTACAGTAGGGAAGACAAACAACAGTCAAAAAAAACCCCCCCCACCACCGGGGCAAAAGTATGGGAAGGAGGGTGGGGTCGGGGGTTAGAGACAGGGCCTGTTTTTCCCTGACCCAACCAACCGGGGGGGTTTTGGTAGGCGGAAACCCTAATTAATATGAGGGATCCACTTGGCAGTGTTTTTTTCGGCTATTGCTTCGCATTTTAGAAAAGGGGTCCCTTGGAGGAGAAAAAATTTTTCTTTAGGAGGCAGAAAACCCCCCCCCCAACAAAGGAAACCCACAAAAAGCACCACCCCTCACCCCCCCACCTACGGCCCTATGGTCCGGTGTGCAGGGGGGGAAGTAGCAGTCAGCATGAAAAGGTATGGGGGGAAAAGTTTCCACTCGGGGGGGGGGGGAATTTTTTCGTCAAGGCCCCAAAAAGGGGAAAGAAAACGTAGCCAAATGTTTCGACTATTGTCCAGAAAGTAAAGCTTGGCCAGGGGGGCCCAAGTTGGGATTTTACAGCGTTGCGTAGCATATGCAGCGTTCGCCATTTGGTGGCCCGGGGGAAAACCGGATAAAGATACGGCGGTTTTTTGCCCCCCCCCAACCCCCCGCTCCACCCCCGTCCTTTTACTTGCTCCGGTCACCGAGTCAATCCCCTCTATCACCCAGTCAAGGCTCCAAACACCTTGCTGGGGGGAGTTGTCGCTCGTTTGGCATCTTCCGCTCGGGCGTGCTCCTTCCCGAATCCTCTCACGGTTTTCCGGGGTAGCAGTTTTTTGGAATCCTTCCAAAAAAACAACAGTTTTGCGACAGCACCCGAGGGTGCAAAGCTAACGTCCTCCTGTCCAATTTGCTGGTGCTGCGTCCCTCCCTTTCCAAGTGGTGGACTCAGCCCCTTTTCGAAAATAAATGGCTTGGCCGCCCGCGGTGGAGAGTGCCAAGCGGCATTTCTTCGCCAAAAAGGCAGTGTTCCACTCTGCATTCACATGAAAGGAATGGGGCCAGTTTTTTAGATGTCGGTTTCCCAAAGTGCACCGCCGGCCCGACTTTTGGAGCGAAACTCGGTCGGGGGGACGTCATGCATTTACGGCCCACGGGGTTGAAAAAGTGGTGCCGGCAAGCCCACAGAATTGGACAGGTACGCCGCTTTTGCCTCCACGTTTGCACGCCCTTTGGTCCACAAAGTGTCCGCTCTCTACCATCTTTTTTCTCCCGTGTGCCAGCCCCCCACCCCCTTTCCAAAGTCCCATTTCCCGAACCGGATTCACTGTGCAGGGGGGAACGGTGTCACGCTGTGCTGCCCTGGGAGCCTTGGGCGAACGTTTTC